ATATTGGAACCTCGTTATCGCCTGCGTCATCTTTTACCCATGCTGAACAATTTGAAGAAAGTGTTATGGTACCCATACCGTCAATTACACCTCCAGACTTTCCAGGGTATGGATTCTTTTTTTATATTTATATAAAATTTGAAATATATCGACAGAATATCAAATCTAGCTAATCAAAATGAAATCGTACTAACTATTTAATAATGTTATGATAAATAATTAATTGCATTGGTTATACCTTAATTGCTCTTCCATTAATGTTCATTTATTAACAGAACATGACGTTGTCTGTATACGAGCATGAATCTTTTAGCTAAGTATATTTTGTTGAAAATAAAAATTAGCGATTAATACCCTTCAAATTTCAAAATAGGCATTTTTGTAAACAAAATCATAGTTTTGATTTTTTTCTTGAATATTGCTGCTTCAATATTTAATTTTTTTATCCAACTTTTTATCAGCAAGTATTTCACTCATTTGGTTTACAAACTTACATTAGTTATTTCTGCAATTGATGACACAATTTAAATTTAACACCTCATAGTTACAATAAACTATGTTTGTTTTTTTTTCAAGTTAGAGATTGTATAGGTGCTTAAATAATTTGACCTTTTCACTAGCTCAACATCAATCAACATCATCTTTTTAAACCTCAAAAATGATATATTCTGAAACTTCAAATCAATGTAGCATTAGCATCTGCAAACTCGACCAACGTTATCCACCATGGTGTTCTGCAGATCTGCAGATAATCGATTGCAAAATCATATCTTAATATTTAAATTATTATATTTCAGATAACAAAAATTGCAATGGTCCGTTAATGTTCATTAATTAAGAGAACATGATGTTGCCTGTTCACAAACACAAATCTTTTAGCTAAGTACATTTTGTTGAAAATAAAAATTAGCGATTAATACCCTTTAAATTTTAAAATTCCTGCTACAATATTTAATTTTTTTATCCAACTTTTTATCAGCAAGTATTTCGCTTATTTGGCTTACATTAGTTATTTCTGCAATTGATGACGCAATTTAGATTTAACACCTCATTAGGTTTTTCACAAATGAATAGTGGTAGTTTCAATGAAATGGTAGTAGCTAACATTAAATTTGTTTATTTTTTTAAGTTAGAGATAGTATAGGTGCTTAAATAATTTGACCTTTTCACTAGCTCAACATCACTCAACATCAAAAATGATATATTCTGAAACTTCAAATCAATGCGGCATTAGCATCTGCAAACTCGACCAACGTTATCCACCATGGTGTTCTGCGGATCTGCAGATAATCGATTGCAAAGTCATGTCTTAATATTTAAATTAATATATTTCACTATTTCAGATATCAAAAATTGCATTACAATAGAATAATGATATTATTATTTAATAGAAACCACCATAATGGATGTTCTCCGAAAGATCTATCATTGATCGAGCAATTTGTTAAATTGGACGCTGATGTTAGAAAAATGGAACGAGAACGTAAACGACCTAAATATCAGCATCACATTTTAAGTCCGCTAGCTCGGGATCCTGAAGCGAACAAATCCAGCCGAAAAAATCCTGATGACGATAAAGATATATTAAAGCAAGCAAAGTAAAACTGAAAAATTAAAAAAAACATGATATTATTTCAATTATACAATAATTACGTTTTAGTTTAAGTTCCTCTTACTTAAAACTGTAGTGAAGATCTTGACATTGTATATAGTTGTCATTAAATATTATTAATTCGTCAATTATTATATTAAAAAAAACATTTCAACGAAAATATTAGAAAAGAAGTAGATATATATAGTATAGACCCTATTTCAGAATAACAATAATTCTTGTAAGCTTAGCTTAGACTTATAAGTCTTTCAGAAATCTCCAACACTTTAAGACCCTACATCCGCGGAAGCTTTTCTTTAGAGATGGAATTGCTTTTGAGGCGCTTTCAAATTGAGTTTTGAAAAAAAAATAGCAAATATCACTGCAAATGTTATTTCTCAACTTCCTTAATCCTTTCTTTGTGTTTTACCATAAAATGTTTAGGTATACATTAATTTTATTATAGCCAAAGCAAATAATGTAATAATGATGTTCTAACAATTGTGATTAAAGTGGAAAACAGACAGGTTAACTATTATCCAAAAAAGATCACATATCAATAATTGGGTAAATGGTTAAGCGCAATAACAACTGTCTTTAAAAAGAGAATTACAAAACAATTTTAATCTGAATACTTCATATTTTCCTCAATTTTTATGTCACTTGAACAATATAGAAAAATATGGAAAAATACTGTATAAAATAAACTTGTAGCACATTTGTGTTTTTAGAATAAAAATTTGAAAAACAATCAAAAACACTAATTTAATTTCATAACATTTTTTTTTAATATTTTTTTAACAGCAATCAGAACCTTACGTCCTATGAGCTGTTGGGCTGAAACTTCTTCTTACTTCGTATTTTTTAGATAGAAACCCAATGGTTAATCCATCCATATTTGATGATTTTGTTATTAGATTTAATCTAATAGGGCTGACTTTTTATTGGTGCAGCAATGCCGGGTGAGGGCTATTTTCACTTGGAAACATATTGCTATCTATATTTCCAAGTGAAAATCGTTGTCACTGCTGCCTGACAACAGGCTGCTCGAAGTGGGTATCGAATCCGGGACCTCTGAAACAAGTCCCGTCGCTTTTAGCCGCTTACCTACGGGCGAGCCCATAATATTTAAGACACCATTTTTTATTTTCCTGAAGGATAAGTTTATCTGTTCTTGACATTTCCAGCCATTCTGAACCGTTTCACACCAAAATTAAAAAAAAAATATGTGTGTGTACGCCAAATTGTGATCATTCGTCGATAATTTTTCAAACCAGCTGCAAATTTTAGCAACGATCAGCTGAGCAGTTATAATTACCACATTAGTTCTCAGCCGATTTTCAAACTTTAAAAACAGTTCAAAATCTATTAGCTGGAAATCGTGTTGATTTTTTTAGGTAAAGATCGGACAGGCCGAAAATAATTTTTTACCGATTTTGATAATGCGTTTTATGATGATAAAGTTTTTTCCAAAAGTGGTTTAATTATGAAAAATAATTAAAGTTGGGACAAATGAGCCGTGTCAAAACTTAAAAGTCTTAAAATTGTTATTGATTAAGTCGATTAAAATAATAATAAAAGTAAAAAAAAAGTTATTTGCGGACATTACACATATCTGGAAATATTTGCAGCTAGCCTTAAAGTAGAATTACTAATTTTCTTTATCAACACCAGTTGTACTAAGTTATCAATAGAATTAAAGATTTTTAAAATTAAAATAAAATTTTGGATCAACTAATGTTTATTGATTTTTTTCAAAATAATTAAAATGAAAAAATAGTTTGTTTTAAAATAACAGATTTTTAAATATGAGAAAGTTTTTACTGCTTTGGAAATTAAATTTATTCAATCTAATGTCGATCGTCACTGAAACTTGGAATATAATAAAACAAATAAAATATATTTGATGATGTTATTTACAATTTTGCCCCTCTACATTCAAGAGTTCTGCGTAAAAGAATATTTAATAGTAGTAAGATGATTTATTAACTAGCAAATTTGAATTTTCTGAAAAAAAAACAAAAATGTTTTCTTCAAAATGTTTTAAAAAAAATCACGTTATTTTTTATAAATGCCGAAATTGTTTTTAAATATTTAATTTATTTTTTAATGTAAATTTAAACAATTTACTTTCAAATTGATTTCTAAAGGGTTAATATTTATTCAATTTCATTTACTTCGAGTTTCCCGAAAATTCATACAGCAAAAATTATTGTAGAAAAGGTTGGCAATCACTGTTTCAATAGATCAGCCATTGTTATTGTTGTGTTTTGACAGTAGAGCATTAGCTAACCTAGACAATATACTAATATAGACGTTTCTCTCTCGCGGTATTTGCGTTCAGAGAGCTAGGGAAAGTCACGACCGCAATATTGGGTGATGGCGCTTTAATCGCATGTCGCTCGGCAGCCTCGTGCTCCAAAATGCATTCAAATTAAAGCGCCAAAATTAGAAATAAAAGAAAATTGTCAATTTTAAAAATAATTTATTTGTATTTAAATTTTGCATTACAATAGTCTTATATTGACATTGTTATACAATAACAAAACATACCAAACAATAATACATATATTAAATAGATATCAAAGTAAATAGCAATATGTTGCAACAAACATATTTATTTAAAAAAAGGAAAAATAAAAAGATTAACGAATTACAGGATTCCTGCCTTCAAGTGGATAATCATTCATTATTCACTACCAATAATGTTGTGAACACAAAACATCATGTTTAAATTATAGTGTCTGTGCATTACTTTATTAACTAATAATCATTCCAAGTAAGATTTGTCACTTTTCAGCACATTCTTTGCGATAAATCCAGTCATGCTAAATGGCTCTTGATTTTATCTTGAATATTCAAAAAACTGCTGCATTAAATTAACTTATTTTATCATCTTGCACGGCAATTGGATTTCGTTCATTAACTCAGTGGCGTTCCTAAAAATGTAAAGTCTAGTCTATTTATGCTTTTCCATATATATTTAAGAGCCTCCAAAGTTTAATACAATTCTGAAAAGTTAGAAGAGCCTTGCTTTTCTTATAAAAGAGCCCCTAGCTTGCTCCCAAAATGTATTGTGATTAAATTTTTATTATACAACTGCTTTAACAATTGCTTTATATCCTCTTCATTTAAGAGTTATAGATTTTGTTTGAATCACAAATAAAACCGTATAAACAATTATAAAACACTTGTAAACACAACAATCACAATAAGAATCAAAACAAAATTTTGACATTTCTGGTACATATTGCTCGTGAATTACTAACCTGTCAAACTTGTCATCGGCTCACTAGCGCCAAATTTGCACCTAGCGGTCGTGACTGGAACTACGCGTTGTGAACGCGGATTTTGTACTGAGATAATAGGGCCTGATTAGCTAATTTTTATCAAAACAATTATTTTAAAAATGTGGAAAAACGTTCAAATAAACGGTGATTCTTATCTAGTCAAACATGAATATTCTCAATTTACATATAACCTGCATATTACTAATCTTATGAATTTATGGCATGAAACAATTAGCACTGAATCAATTATAAAACGATGTCGGGTAAGATGGCATACATAAATCTGCATAAAATCATTTTGATAGACATTATCAATTATTCTAGGATATGAATAAATTTTTGGAAGCAGATGATGAAACTTTTATCGATAAAATCTTTCAACTGCTTTATGATGATCAAGCTGAAAAATTACTAACTTTTTGTCCAACAAATGAAACTGGCTCCCTAATTTTAAAAACGAATATGGATGGAATTAACTTTCACTTCAAGTTTGAATTATTATTAGCAAGCTCTAAAATTGTAAATATTCATCATTCATATTTTTATTATGTTGTTTTATTTTTGCATACTATCATAATTTTAAACCAATGCAGTTGTTTCAAGAAGTCACAGCAAATTTATTAATAAAGATACAAAACTTGAAGAATGCTCAAGAAAATTTAATAGAAGTAATTCACCGAAAGGATGTTGAAATTGATCAATACAAGATTGAAGGATATGTTTTGTCACGCAGTACGTATTTTAAAACTTTGCTTTGTGGTCAAAATTTTTTATTAAAGATTTATCGTTTTGAGTTGCTATAGTAAATTTTAAATAATATTGAATTGCTCCAAAGTTTAAATGTGTTATTTATGTAACATTATACTTAATTCTAAAATTTTGAAATTTATTAATTTTTCCTTGAGATTATTGTGGATATTTTTTATATCACAAATCAATTCTTATAGAAGCACTATGACATTATCATATTTTTCATATAATTCATATTCAATTAGAAAACATAGGTATTTACAAAATGTTTGATTAGAACTCGTGGAAACTGAGAAATTTGTCGATGAAGAATTCAAAAAGAAATACATTATTGAATCGTGGCCATCATGTATTAAAAATACCTTGGAAGATGTCTTTGAAAACGACTGTGGGATCAATAAATTCATTGAAAAAAATCTTGGTGTGGAATTAGACATAAAACCGAAGTACATGACAGAATTTTACATTTTGTAACTAAATTAATTTAATTTCGTAATGAACTCATTTGTTTTTTAGGAATAATTTGAAAGCTTCATTGAACAACAAACATTCATTGCGAGGTGTTAAGAAGTTCAATCGAAGAAGAATATATGCCAAACATTTATCTCCAACTAAATTGAAATATGATAGTCTAATTAAAGATTCAGAAGATGATGTACCTTCAATACAGGTTAAGATTGAAGATGGTTTACCACAATGCAGTTAAGAAATATTTTTAATGAATCAATATATATATATATATATATATATATATATATATATATATTAGGGTGGTCCTTAAAATGGTCATTTTCAAATTTCCTTGCTCCCAGGGGCTCAAATGGTTCCAAATAGATAAAAAACAATTCTCTGAAAGTTTTAGCTCTTAATATTAACGTTTAGATAGAGCGCAATTCAATCAAAGTTTTGTATGGAAATAGCATGGAAAATTTTTCAAAAATTTTAAAAATATTTTTTAGATGTAATTTAGCGAACAAATGAATGAATAAAACTCATTCATTTGTCGCTAAGTTATATCTAAAACATGTTTTTTAATTTTCAAATTTTTTTCCGTGCTCTTTCCATACAAACTTTGATTGAATTGCGCTCTATCTAAACGTTAATAGTAAGAGCTAAAACTTTCAGAGAATTGTCTTTTATCTATTTGGAACCATTTGAGCCCCTGGGAGCAAGGAAATTCGAAAATGACCATTTTAAGGACCACCCTAATATATATATATATATATATATATATATATATAATGGTATATTTTAATGTAAATTTTAATTTATATATTATTGCATTAAAAATATAATACACTTTTAATCTTTTACTCAATTAATCAAAGTATTATTTAATACAATGAAAAATATATGTTTTCTAAAAACCTTAAATAGCATTTGAGGTGTTATCTCACCTCAAAGACTTGACTTCGGACAGAGCATTTTTTTATTATTAGGTTGTATCTAAACCTGTGGTAGTGCTTATAGCAATTAATATGCTGTGTGGCAACGGATAGATTCCTGATATTGTCAGTATGTTATCCTTTTCAATTTGATTTTCTGAGGCAAAGAGCCTAAAAATAATTGACGTATAGCATTGATTTTAGATACTCCTTAAAATACTTACACTAAAATATCTTCTGGTTCAGTTAGTATTTCTGTACTATTTAGTTCAGTCAAATAGTATGCAAAAGATTTTGTACCCAAATTTGCAGTAACTGGTTCCTAAAAATGTTGCAATAGTATATTAAAAATTTCTTACCAAAACATTATATATACATGCATGAGTATTACTTTATAGTTGGATCTTGGCCCAGTATGTCTTACTCCCCAAATGCTTATGCACTGGTTTTCACAAACGCAGATTGTATAATTTGGACCACATTCTACATGCTAATTTAATAATATACAAGTGCATTAGTTTTATTTAATAGTATTTCTACAATGATCTCACAATCAGATATTTAAAATTACCGTTATAAATCTATCACTTATATTTTTCACCAGAACTGGTTTTTGTTTATTTATCTTTCCAACACTACCAATACCTAATTGGCCATTTTTATTTTCTCCAAACATAATAACATAGCCACCTTCCACAATCATTGCTGTGTGAGCTTCACCAAATGATACATAATTAACTTTGTAATCAACATTTATTATTTCCTGAAATATAATAAAACTAATTAAATTATATCCAAATACTATTCATTAAAATTTAATAATACGTATTGTCTATTTTTGAAATTTTTATAATAAATTCCATAATTTATAATAGAAGATTATAATATAATCACTGGTATTAAAATTTTATCCACGTTAGAATTTAAAATCCCAATTTTATAAGCAGTGTTGCAGCCACATATCATAATAGTCCCATTTGATAAAAGAAAGGCTGAAACTTGGTAGCCGCAAAATATATTTTCAATTTTTTCCTGATTGAGATCTAACTGGATTTTAATAGGTGTATATCTGTAATAGGATTATTTGGCATTATTATTTAATGGGTGACTAATATTATCAAACTCGCCTATTCATTTCATCTCCAGACCCTAACGCACCACCAAAACCTTTGCCCCAAGTGAATACATTATTATTATTATCTAACGCAACAACATGATGTGGTCCATTTTTTATGATAACTATATTTTCGAGGTCTGAAAATGTAATTTAAATGTATTACATATTTATTATATTTGCTATTTACAGAATTTCATTTACTAATTAATGTCGGTAAAACATAATTTTGTGGATCTCCTAAACCTAAACAGCCAAATGAACCACTACCGCAGCTATAAAGGTGACCAGTATTTGTTAAAAATATACTGAAATCGCAACCTGCACAAGCACTGAAATAAAAAAAATAATGCTCTTACAATAACAGACATAAGTAGATATGAAAGAATTATAACTTATATGTACTTATTTATCTTGAGAGAATCAAATGCCTTGACAATATGTGGATATTGATTCCATGTAGATGTTTCTCCATGTCCTAATTGCCCATACGAATTTTTACCCCATGAATAACACATTCCATCTAATTTTTTATGTAAATATGATATATAAAAACAGTATATTTTGTATAATTAATTTAAAATATAAATAATTAGGATATTGTTACCTTCTGTTACCAAAATAAAATGTGTTGTGCTAACAGAAACTGCTTTTATTTGAATTGCAGCTGGCAAAGGTATGGGTTTTAGTGTTGTATTATTTCTGCAGGATTTTAGTTGATATAAAATTGATCTATCGTGAAAATATAATTAAGTTTGGGTTATGAGCTCAATATATATTTGTGAAAGAAACCTTTTTTTGGAGCTTGGTAAAATGTCATCTTTACTTAACATGGGAAGTGGCGTGCCAACATAAACATGTCCTTCATTTCCTAATTTTTTATAAACTTGAGGTATTAAATTATAGAATGTTTCTGAGGCAGATGCTCTTTTGGCAATGTCTACTTCTAACAGTCTTTTAACTAAGTTAGTTAACTCGGGGCTATATCCAGAAGGCAAGTCTTCAAACTCTCCCTAAAATAAATTTGTAAATCAGATATATAATTAATCACTTCTACAACTATTTATTTTAATTCGTACCTTCATAATTTGCGCAACCAGTGCTGGCAAGCTGGTTGCCTTAAATGGTTTCTGATAAGTAGCCATTTCATAAAGTATGCATCCCAATGCCCATATATCTGATTTTTCATCATACACATTTCCTTCACACTATTTAAATATTTAAGTATAAATAAATATATATATATATATGTATATATATATATATATATATATATGTATGTATATAATATACATATATTTATAGCCATAAATTCACCATTTCTGGGCTCATGTAGTAAGGCGTACCAAGTACAGTTTGCGCATAAGCTTTAGTGAGCATTAATTTTGATATTCCAAAATCTCCCACTTTCACCGTTCCATCTTTATTAAGAAAAATATTGGCAGACTTTAAATCTCTGAAATATTAAAAGTAGCTTTAGCAAATATTGAAACTAATATTAAAATACTGCTAGGGTAAATTTATATAAATGTATGGTTTTAAGTTTGGAGCTATTAATATAAGCTAATAATTACAAAGTTTAAATTTAATAATGTAATTTAAAATATATTTATTGGAAGAAATATTATTTTATTCCAATATTTTCTCTTCGATAGTTTTCCAGCACAAAAATATTAATATTATGAAGAAAAATATTTCAAAAATTATTGGAAAAGAGCAAATATAATATATATATATATATATATATATATATATATATATATATACTTGTTCTTGTTCTTTAAATGAAATTCAGTTACTTTACGTTTATTCAAGCTTGTGGAAATAAATGTCATTAAATATTTTATAATAAACAAGTTGAAAAATGTATGACCAATAATAATAAAATAGAAATAACATGTACCTACTCTTAAATCATGCACTGCTCACATACATAATAATATTCAGATATATTATGTATAGTTAAACTTTCTATAATATTTCTAAAATTAAAAAATAGAAATAAGTTTACCTATGTAAAATTGAATTTGCATGCATATACAATAATGCACTTGTAATCTGAGAAAGCAAATGCAAAATTGTTCTCTCGGGTAATCTGCTGTTTTGTTGTAGAAGCATTTGGGACAAGGTGCCTCCGTTAGCATATTCCATTTCAATTAACAATACATCATCAAGTTTTTGACTATTATAGTAGCTACAGAAAATACATTCATAACATTATTCATTATTGAGCAATCATTAAACATTTATTCTAAAGCTTCTTATAAATACCTAATTATATTGGGATGATTCATAGCTGCTAATATTTGTACTTCATTTAAAGCATTTGCATGCTCCTGAGCTTCTAATTCACATAATAGTATTTCCTTCACTACTACCAATTTTTTGTTAGGCTTTTCATACAAAGTCGCAGTACCAAAAGCACCTGTGCAGTTAAAAAATAACAATTTTACACATCCCAAAGGGACTATGTTATTGACAATATCTTTATACCTTTTCCCACAATCTTTACTTTGCGATAATTTTCCAAACATATATCACTATCCATCTTTACATTGTTTTTGACATTTGTTAAATTTTATACAAATGTATTCGAACACATATATGTAAATAAAGATTGGTTTCCTTGGTAACACAAACCAAACATTTAAGATGAGTATTAGAAATATATATATATTATTTCATGTTTTATATATACATAAGTTTAATAATATGACATTCAATGTACTTTAATTCATATATTTTATATATTTATATATTTAATATTATGGCATTCAATTTTGTACTCTAATAAATTATTCAATTATCATTTCAAAGGATTCCACATCTTTGACCATTGCATTGAATTCTCTCTCCCATTTTTTTGACTCAACCCACTGAAAAGAGACAAAATTTTTATTAAACTTGCTTTAATTTTCTTAAAATTATGGTATTGCTCAAAAATCATATTTATTACAAAAAATAGACATCTCAAAGTTTGACCATAAAACTTGAATCGTTTTTACATTATTTAGCTATCCTAATCAATTCTTAAAGGTGTTTTTTCTAGTACACAATTAAAAATTGTGAATATATTTGATTATTGGTACGATCAAAATTATTACTAAATTTGTTCATATTATTTATTAGATAATATTAATATTTCTTCCTAAAAGTACTATAGGTTTTTTATGATTCACATTTTCTTCTATTTTCTATCACTACTAAACTATTTGCCATATATTGCCTACAACTCTACATAAGACAATATTTGATGATTTCATGTGATTTTTTATATATATATTTATACTGATGATGAGATGAGATGAAATAAACCATAATCACAAACATAATAACTTAATAATTGGTATTTATGAAATAAAGAAATGTATGTAAATTCAAATAAATTACCTCCTCTGTTGTTAATTTAATTGCTTTACTTTTATGTGTCTTTGGCTGAAACATTTTTAATTTACTCTTTTTCATTGGAGATACTTCATCACATTGAAAATTCTGAAATGAAAATTTATAATAAATTAATTATCATTGAATAAATTCAATTTGAATCAGAGCAGAATGCCAATACCTCAGGTAGTTTCAGCGAGACATTGAATTCCTCAGGATCGTCAAATAATATAGGGCGAAGCTGGTTTTCATCAGAATTATTTACATTTTCTGATTCCAAACTCATATCAACATTTATTTTTTCGGAAATTATGGATTGATTATTTTCTGTCTCTGATAATGTTGTAACTTTATTTAGTACATTTTGAGTATTTAGATTCTGATGACCTGCAAATTTTTTCTGCTTTTTTGCATAATGAATTACATTTTTAATTTCTCGTAAAGAAACTCTAGTTGTTCTAGGCACATTTTCATTAACTTCGTTCAAAACATTTACATCTTCATTTATAGAATCAAAGCCAAATATATTTTTGATACTATCCGGATTATTTTCTTTATCGAAAGATTTACCTTTAGTTTGATTTCTATTTTCTTCATTTATAGAATCAAAGCTAAATATATTATTGATACTATCCGGATTATTTTCTTTATCGAAAGATTTACTTTTAGAAACATTAATTTGATTTCTATTTTCTTCGCAATTATTTGCTATTACTTCTTCATTCAATATTTCATTCTCAATACTTTCTTCATTTTCATTTACAGAAGAATTGCTCATTATTAGACTTTTTTGTGGATTCAATAAGTTCTGAGTCTTCAAAATATAATTATCATGTGCTGTAAAGTCATCTTCAAATAATTTAACTGGTGAAATTTTTTGTGGAAGACTTGTCTTTAATGTTTCTGATCCTAATGTAGAAAATCTTAATGATGTATCTTTTTGGTAATTAGGCAACAATGATTTTTTAACAGGAAAATTTGCAGGTAATCTATTACTTTCAAAACCCATTACTCTCCAAGGAGTATTGAAAACATTTTCTGTTTTTGAACTATTATTTATGGGTGAACCAAAATTCATGGATTCATGCAGGTTTTTTCTCGTGTTCTTCATATTTGATACGGGTGTAGAAATCATAGGCCAGACATCACTCAGAGTATCAATATCGTCCAAATCATTATGAGAGTGGTCATCCATGTCTATCTCATTCACGCATTGCATCTTTTTATTTGTGTGCACATTTTCATTGATCTCAATACTATTTTCAAATCCTCCAGGGCTAAAATCATCGGTTTCTGTTTGCCTTTCCATACAACTTAGTTCAAGCATTTTTCCTGTACCAATAACTTTTTTAGTACTATCCTCAGTTTGCAATTTTTTATTGTTAAAATTGTTCCTAATTTTATTAAGAACATCAACTACTTTTTTATTTTCTGGTAATGGTTGATTAGATTTTATGCATTTCTTTGGTTTTTGTGTTCTGTGTTGTATAGTTTTTTTCAATTTAAAGCCATCACGAGTTTTCTTAAATGCTTTTAAAGGCTCATTAGATACATCTAAATCATACAAGTGATCAATTTGGCGTGTTATTCGCCTGGAACTTGTAATATTATTACTTATATTTTTTTTATAAACTGGTGTTTTATTGGAAATGGCATTAGAAAATTGCACTGGTTCAGAAGTTATAGATATATTAACCAAAGGTATTGAAAAATCTAAAATATTAAATTTTTTATTACTTTTACTTACAGTATCTTCTTTAGAAATATTGTTTTTTGAAACACTTGCAGATTTTTTATGTGAAATATTTTTATCTATTTTTAAATTATCACTTGAAGATTTTTTATTTTCTATAGAATCCTTAGTTTTATTTTCAGAAAGCTTAATGTTAGTTTTCACTATGTTCATAGGTACATTTTTATTCATTGTTTTTATTTTGTTTGAATTTGTGTTATTTCTAGTTATTCTTACTGTATCATTTACAACTGGTTGATTAACATTTTCAGAACAGGCATTTTCTTTTGAATTATTAATATTTTGAGAAAACTTAGATTTAGTTTTTTTACTTCCAATTGTTGCCGCTGCCTCTTTTTCTATGACATTTATTTCATCAAGCATTTCTTTCTGATCATTCGCAATAGTGATTTTAACTTCCTGTGCGGAAAGAGCAGCATTATTCCTTTTTGAATACCTGGAAACTCGGTCAATACCTAAATTATTGTTCGCTGCTTTATTTCTACCATCTGGTTTTAAGACAGCATGCTGTTCTAATTTTGTATTTGAGCTGTTATTTTCATCATCGTCATTTAAAATTTTCTGATTTTTTATTGGTACAGTTTTGATAGTATTTTCTAAAAAAGCTTGGCGTTTACTCTTTCTTGTGTCTTTTACACATGCATTCTTATTAGTACTTTTTACTTCATCAATATTAATAAGTTTATTTCTACCTATTAAAGATGAGTTATTAATCAATTGGCCCTGAGATTTGTTTCTGCTATCATTTGCTTTTTTCAACACGTTTGATACCAAACTTTCTATCGCTTTAGACTTTCTCCCTGAAGGTTTCTTTGAATCAGTTAATTGTTTAGCTCTTCGAGAAGAGGTAACAGTATTATGAGTTATTGTCTTTGCATTGCTTCTTGTAATTCTTCCCATCATGCATTTGTTATCACCCTGAAAATTAATTAATGAAAACACAAGAAAACGTTTGTTTACAAATTTTAACGAATCGAAATGTCAAATGTCCAAACAGTATACAGAGATAAGTTTTGTAACGACTTAAGTCCCCTCTACCATGATCAAAGTCAATCAAAGTTAATAACGGTCCCGGAGATTTTGTATTCAATACGGTAACACTAATATTTGCCAAGTAATATGCTGGCACACACATGGATACAAGAAGTGTATTGTCTAACTAATTCAAGTTTTGAAAATATTAATATTAAATATGAAGATAAAAATTATGGCCAATGGCAGTTTGATATACATATAAGTATGCATAGTAAATACCAAAAATAGATAATACCGATTTCTGTTAGTGTATGACGGGGGGTTTTTATTTGCTTCGTTCATTCTTAAGAATTAAATTTCAATGTTTTTTTAATATAAAAAATACGTAATACTCTTATAAAATAATTATATCTCTTAACATAATATGAAGTATTTATGTATGACGGAGTACTTTTATTTGCTTCGTTTATTTTCAAAAATCAAATTTATCTGTTTTTTAATATAAAAAATTACGCAAAACTTTCATTAAGCAATATAAAATATCTATATCTCTTAACATAATATGAAGATTGGTATTGGTACACATAAAAAAATAAATCAATTAGTTAAAAGTTAAATAATAAAATTATGTAGTTAATAGGTTTTGCTACTGCTTTAAAATAGTTCTTTTCTTCTTTAGTTTTTTGCTAAAATTGCTCTTTGCCTGCCAAAACCATTTATGAACTATGTGTGTACATCGGGAAATATTTATACAACGGGATAACTCTCGATAATCCTTATGAAACGCATCTAGTTTTATCGATGGTAACCCTAGACAATATACTAATATGGATGGTAACCTTTATCTGAGAACTGTTTTAAAATGTTTGAACCGATAAAGCGGATAAATTTAAGCTTTTTTATAAGCTCAGAAAAACTTATTTTAAATTAAGTGAAAAACGTTCACAGAAAATACAATAATTGATCAGTTGCCGAGCTAAATAAAAAATCATTGGACTATTGAAAAGGCTACTATGAAATAGGAATGGTAGATTGCAGTTGTTTGAAATTTTTAATTCTGCACTTTATAAATTTTAATTGATAGTAAATTGGTCTCAAAACTTTAAAAAAGTGTTAATGGTGGACAACCTTTGATAAATTATTTTTATTAGCAGCAAATTCTCAGAAAAATTTCAAAATTCTCAAAATTTTCGTTAAATTCATAAAACTAATTTTAAAGTTTCCTATTTTAAGAAAATCTTGATTAAAACTTTGTGAAACACATTTACTGACTGAAAGGCGGTGTGAAAGATGATCCGTCTACTGAAATGACAATTATGAAATCGGTATTTGCGGTAAGACGGAAATTTAGGCAAATGTTTTTAAATCCGCGTCATAAAAAATTAAAATTAAAAAACGATCTCAAAATTAAAAAGAAGTATTAGAAAAGGACACCCCTTGATGAAAATAAATAGTTTTATTAGACAAAAATTAAGTTTTTATATGAATTTCAGTGCTGAACATTCACTGACTAGAAGCGAAAAAAAGAAGGTAGAAATTAAGGGTTGTATGTGCCTTTTAATTAAAAATTTTTAAAATATATATTTTTTAAACTAATTCTAATGTATATATGATGACACGAGTATTAAAACGTATAATTAATAAACAATGTTTTACTTTTAACTTTTTTTATTGTGATAAATGTGCTGCCAATTATTAACTTCCCTTAAGGTAAATTATTGTAATCGTCCAAAAATCGATATTAATTTTTTTTACGTTTTGAAGGTTTCTGAACATTTTGGCATACTTCTGCATACTTCAGAAAAAATGGGTGTGTGTGTATGTATGTATGGATTCAATTTTTCGTCCACGTTTTCGAACGCACGGATCAACCGATTTGAATGGTTCAAGAAATATTTGATTCCTATTGATAGGAAAAGGTGCTGATTAGTTTTTGACAAATGCAGGTCCAGCCGTTATGGAGATTCGGAACTAAATGTACAAAAAATGGCAGTTTTTGAGAGAAATAGGCATCCTAATTGAATGATTCAAAAAACTTTCTGCTTGTGCTGACAAAACAATTGCTTTTGGAAATAAAAATATTATTTCAATTTTTTTTTCAAAATTTTTTTTGTATATCGAAAATAATTCAATTTCAATTTTAAATCTGCTAAAGTTTTAAAGCTCACTTATATACTTTAAATAAATATTTTTGACTTTGTGATTAAGTTTATATAATTCTTAGAAATATAAGTGAGCTTTAAATACCTCTAACATTTTGTTACGGTACGGGAAGTTCCAGCAATTTGACTTAAGGCACGATGCCATACACCACTAGTTTAAACTAATTCTACTGTTTTAAGTTTTTGTTTTTGTCCTGGCTGATTTGCTGAATTATAACACGCATCAAGTATCAAAACGTATGATTAATAATGTTTTATTGTTTAACCCTTTTTTATTTTGACTAATGTGCCGCTAATTATTTTAAATATGATTAATATGTTTCAACATCGAAAAAACTATCAAGCAAATAAATGCAACATATTTAACATTGTTATTTATTGACGTAGAAAGCTAAATCGATGTGTATGCCAAATGTCATATCATAATTCAAAGTAACAATGTTGCCATGTGAGGAGAAATGTAGCGCTCACGAAAAGCGAGTCAAGAACTATCAAAACCCAACTGAACGAGGCGAGTGAAGTGAATGCCGTCATTGTTGCATTGTTATGTGTTCGAGAGTACGAAAGAAGTTTTGTACAGTGGCTTGTTTGCATTTTCATTGTTTTTGACGCGAAAAATAAAACTACAATGCTGTGACATATATCGTTCAAGTGTCAAATAGCACATAAAACCGTATTTAAATGAAAAACCTCTGTTAACAATAGTTGGCTTGTGGTTGCCTATGTCGTTTACCTATTCCCCTTGTGCAAACCCCGGGTTGTGGGAATGTGTAAGAAAATTAGTAAAATGCTCGGAACGATAAAAATTGTGCAAGTGAAAAATATGTTGATTAATGTTTAATTATTACTGTGAGGTGAATTTGATAATTCTGTATGAATTTAAAATTAACGGATTTCAATATGGAAGTGACTGATAGTGATACGAATTCCAGCAATTATAAGGAGACGAATAAAAGTGAACGTAAGTCATATACTTTTTTATTTTCTACTTTATTAAATGGCATGTCTTTATTTAATAGTATATAGTATATTGTCCCAGATGCACTCATTATGATACATGAATACACTTCATGCAAATTAACATAGGTACTTATTTTAGTTTAATCCTTAGGAGAAGGTAATATTCATTATAGCATATTTTAATATATGTATATATATAAATATATATATATATATATATATATATATATATCGTTTTGTTTTAGATTCATTGAGCATTTTCGTAAAAATTCCTTATAATTATCTCTTTAATTAAAAATTGCACATATACACATATTTATAATTTAATTGCTATATGCGTGTGTATGTATATATGTATCAAAAATATCTTGTGACAAGTAAATACGAATCTTTCATACCTAAATATTAGAGTTCAAAATCAACTTTTATTATATTGCCATTTGTAATTTAATGAGTTAGTGATAATGATAAGCTACGTTTTGCGAATGTATGTATAATTGGCAATGTTTAAATAATGAGTATAAATTCAGGAATGTTTAAGGGTCTTCGACAGTGGTATAAGTATAATCTATTTTAGCGTCTACCTGTTTGATGCAAAATGTATGCATCGGACATGACGCATACCCATACATTTTACTGTCTAGTTGTACAAAAAACAACTTACACAGGTGTGTTGAACCACTGCCTGAGTGACCGTGCATACCTTTTCGTTTCCACGCTTTGCGAACATAGACGTAAAGCATAAATTATTAGCCCGAGACTAATGATCGAAAATCTGAGGCCATTGATATAAACATCATAAAACCATTATCTAAATGTTTATAAATACTTTTTCACTTCAAAATTTATTTATCATACTCTTAATAAACTTTTGTTGCATTTTTATCAAACCACGTCCGTTTTTAACTGTAAATTTTGAGATCCGCGTTACTCAAAATATATTTCATTTTTACCAAACATAGCCCGACATCAGGCAATTTTGATGTCAAATTTCTACTTCGGAAAGGAAAAGGAAGGAAATCGTCCTTCGTGGACATAGTTGCTCACTCAATCATATTAAACTATTAGACGTAAGAGCTAATATATATATATATATATATATATATATATATATATATATATATATATATTAAATCCACACATAGGAGAATGGTGAACCGATGGGTTGCCTCTCATAATGAGTTAAACCAAATATGATAAATCTATTTGAACCAAATTCTTATGATC